CGGGGCTGGTGGCGGGGGGGCGGCTGCTGGAGCTGCAACTGCCTGAGAGGATGTGCCGAGCCCGGGCGGCGCGAGGCCCTTGAGAGCCTTAGGGCCCCAGGACGCCGGGGCCCGGGATGAGTTAGCGAGGGTCACCGCGGGGGCCAGGCGTTCCTAGGGCTACAGGCCAAGGCGACGGCGCCGCCCGCCCGCCCCTTCCGTGCAGAGGCCGCCAGCTGCTTTCCGCGCCCGCGCTCCCGGCCCCGGAGACCATGAGGTTCCGCATCTACAAACGGAAGGTGCTGATCCTGACGCTCGTGGTGGCCGCCTGCGGCTTCGTCCTCTGGAGCAGCAATGGGCGACAAAGGAAGAACGACGGCCTCGCCCCGCCGCTGCTGGACGCGGAGCCCCCGCGGGGTCCGGGCCATCTCGCCGTGTCCGTAGGCATCCGCAGGGTTTCCAACGACTCGGCGCCTCCTGTGGTTCCCGCCGCCCCGCGGCCCGAGGTGGACAACCTAACGCTGCGGTACCGGTCGCTGGTGTACCAACTGAACTTTGATCAGATGCTGAGGAATGTCCGTGATGACGGCACCTGGCGCCCCGGGGAGCTGGTGCTGGTGGTCCAGGTGCATAACCGGCCGGAATACCTCAGGCTGCTGCTAGACTCGCTTCGAAAAGCCCAGGGCATTAACGAAGTCCTAGTCATCTTCAGCCATGACTTCTGGTCCGCAGAGATCAACCATATGATAGCTAGCGTGAACTTCTGCCCGGTTCTGCAAGTGTTCTTTCCATTCAGCATTCAGCTGTACCCGAGTGAGTTTCCGGGTAGTGACCCCAGAGACTGCCCCAGAGACCTAAAGAAGAATGCAGCTCTGAAGTTGGGGTGCATCAATGCCGAATACCCTGACTCCTTTGGCCATTACAGAGAGGCCAAATTCTCGCAAACCAAACATCATTGGTGGTGGAAGCTGCACTTTGTGTGGGAGAGAGTCAGAGTTCTTCAGGATTACACTGGCCTTATACTTTTCCTGGAAGAGGACCACTACTTAGCCCCAGACTTTTACCATGTCTTCAAAAAGATGTGGAAGTTGAAGCAGCAGGAGTGTCCTGGGTGTGATGTCCTCTCCCTAGGGACCTACACTGCCAGTCGGAGTTTCTATGGCATTGCTGACAAGGTAGATGTGAAAACTTGGAAATCCACAGAGCACAATATGGGGTTAGCCTTGACCCGAGATGCCTATCAGAAGTTGATCGAGTGCACAGACACTTTCTGTACTTATGATGATTATAACTGGGACTGGACTCTTCAATATTTGACTGTATCTTGTCTTCCTAAATTCTGGAAAGTCTTAGTTCCTCAAGCTCCGAGGATTTTTCATGCTGGAGACTGTGGTATGCATCACAAGAAAACATGTAGGCCATCCACCCAGAGTGCCCAGATCGAGTCATTCTTAAATAATAACCAACAGTACATGTTTCCAGAAACTCTAGTTATCAGTGAGAAATTTTCTATGGCAGCCATTTCCCCACCTAGGAAAAATGGTGGGTGGGGAGATATTAGGGACCATGAACTCTGTAAAAGTTATAGAAGACTGCAGTGAAAACAAAAATCACAATTGCAAAGATGACAGTCTTCTGTTTTTTATATTTCTTTCAATGGGATATACAATTGAATAAAGGGTATAGGAACTGGTTTCTGCTTTAATACACAGATTTCTTGTAACAGGTGTCCAAATATATAGTAATCCTATTCAGTTAGTCTGATTAAAATTTCAAACTGAAATTTTCATTTTGGGTCTTGGGTTTTAAAATTCAGTCTATCTGCTTAAGGGTAATGATTTGATAATTATTGATTAGAAAAGGAAATTTTATTTAAATCGCATCTGTTAATCTTTCTATCTAAAACTTTGTATACTTTTCCACTTTCAGAACTTATTTTAAGTACAGCAAGACTTATTTAAAACTGTCACAACAGTAAAAAGTATTACAAGACTATTAGAGTATTGATGGGACAAACCCAGTGTCACTATTGACTTTTATTTGGAGGAATTGTCTGACCGGTTTAATCACTCAGAAGTTCCGTTTGTTAAACGCCCTGTCAGAAGAGTCATTTCAGTATTGCTGATTCCTGTGCTATTGTGTTAAGATTTGCCTGTGCTTTCAGCCTTCATACTACATGATTTATGTTGGAATGTATTTGGTTAATAAGAAAGTTTAAACACTGTTTTCACCTCAATGTAGAAATACAGTGGTTTTTTTTGTTTGTTTTTTTATTTTTAGTGCTGCCAAAATAAAATACTCATTTTTTCATAAAAAGTTCCCTAATCATTTTGCAAAATGTTCTATTTGTACCAATAAAGGCGTTCTAGAAGTTTTGAGCATGAGCATTATATCTTAATAATTACTAGCTATACATTGTATGAGTTTAAAATGAAGCTGGCTCATGACAGTGCGTTCTCTTAGGAAGAAATAGTTTGGCTTTCAAATTAGCCAGGCATAGATAATGAACAATAAGAAAAGCTGCTGTATAAGGGAAATACTGCCTAAATTGTTTTTGAAGGCCAGAAATGATACAAAGTTCAGTCTTGCCAAGGTGCAGCAGGTCTGTGCCAGCTGTGACTTGAGATGCTTTTAAAAGAACAGACAGTAGGAAGCAAGCTTTAGATTATTCATACTTTGTATTACTTTTCCATAATATAATTGTATTCAGCCAAAAGTTACAGAGGTCATTTGTGTGTAAAGATGACTATTGGTCATTTACCAAAGTCTCAAAAATTATTTTTATCAGTTTCGTACTGGAAATGTATATGCTGTTTAAGCTGTTTAGTCTTCTGGTTTTCTATTACCTTCACATCTCAATCTGGCACTGTCTTGACTTTTTTAATGTTTTACCAATTTGTTAACTGTGTGCACATATATGGGTGTACACATGTGTCTCCGTGGTGCCTGCTGAAGGTCAGAGGGTGTTGGTCCCAGGGTCAGGACTCCAGGCACTTGGAATGTACTTTTACCCACTGAGCTATCTTGTGTGTGTGTGTTTACAGATTGGTTTGTGTGTATAGCTCTAGCTGGCCTTGTATTTCTAACCCTCCCAGTTCTTCGTTTATAACTGGGATTACAGAGCCTCATGCATGCAAGGCTGAGGCATACCTCAAGGAATAATCTCAGTAAACCCAGTACATGGTGTTACTGTTGTATAGGGAGGAATGTAATCTCCTGATGTAATCTCCTGAGCAGTTCAAAGGACTAAAGGAAGTAGGTGTTTCCAGGAGAGTTCAAAGGCTACTGATAATTAGTAGCCTTGTCTGAAACAAATACTTAGTTCATTCATGCCCTTGGGGCTAGTGATGACATCAACAGAGATTTTCCTTTATATGTCTTCTTTCATATTGTTCTAAAATATTTTGAGGTGGGAAACTGAGGGTTTCCTCTACATTTTTGTTTTTTTGTTTTGTTTTTCGAGACAAGGTTTCTCTGTGTAGCTTTGGAGCCTGTCCTGGAACTCGATCTGTAGACCAGTCTGGGCTAGTACTCAGAGATCTGCCTGCCTCTGCTTCTTGAGCACTGGGATTAAAGGTGTGCACCACCACTCCCGGCTCCTATATCACATTTTAAGTTATGAATTGATTCCAAAATAATGTTTTTTTGTGTAAAAGAAAATTTTCCTGTCAGAACAAATGGCTAGATTTTTCTTAATTTCTGTTCTAGGGATTTTTAAAAGTCATTTTTATGTGTATGGGTATTTTGTCTATGTATAAGTGTGTACCACCTGTGGAGACCAGAAGAGGGCATTGGATCCTCTGGGACTAGAGTTACAGATGGTTGTGAGCTGCCATGTGGGTGTTGGAAATTGAACCAGGGTCCTCTGGAAGAGCAGTCAGTGCCCTTAACCACTGAGCTGTCTCTCCAGCCTCTCCAAAAACCTTAAATATGTTCTTTAAAGCCAAAAGATGGTTTTAATACATTAGCTTCCAAGAAATTAGTTGATTTTGAAAATGATTGCTTAAAAATTTCTAAGTTTATCTCTGTGTTGATGTTTTGCCTGCATGTATATGTTCACCACATGTGTGTCTGGTGCCCACAGAGGTAGAATAGGCCATCATATCCTCTAAACCTGGAGTTAGGATGGTTGGGAGCTCTAATGTGTGTGGTAGGAATCAAACATCTGTCCTCTGCAAGAGCAAGTGCTCCAAACTGATGCAAATTTCTCCAGCCTCCAAAGGATCACCTTTATTTAAAAAACATTTTTTGTTTTGTTTTGAGGCAGGTTCTCTCTGTAGCTCTAGCTATCTTGAGGCACACCTCTAACCTCCATATTCACGATGTGACTTGTGTGTGCCCCCCTCCCACCCTGAGCCAAAATAAAATAGTGGGTTTTTGTTTATTATGTGTACAGTGCAGGCTAGAAGGGGGCACCAGATCTCATTGATGATTGTAAGCCACTTTGTGGTTGCTGGGAATTGAACTCAAAACCCTTGGAAGAGTAGCCAGTGCTCTTAACCTCTAAATGTGGGTTTTTGTTTATTATGTATACAGTGCAGGCTAGAAGGGGGCACCAGATCTCATTGATGATTGTAAGCCACTTTGTGGTTGCTGGGAATTGAACTCAAAACCCTTGGAAGAGTAGCCAGTGCTCTTAACCTCTGAGCCATCTCTTCAGCTCATTTTTTGTTTAATTATTTTACTCTCCTTGAGAAAAGCATTTCTATTAGAAAAATCACAAAGCATATCTCTATAAGTAAAGAAACTGTTCAAAAAGTATCTCCTGTTTCTGTTTTTTGAGACAGTGTTTCTCTGTTCTGGAACTCACTTTGTAGAACAACCTGGCCCCAATTTACAGACTATCTCTGCTCCTGAATGCTGGGATTAAAGGTGTGCACCACCACTGCAGTTTTGTTTTGAAGACAGGATCTCATGTATGGCCCCTAATTATGTAGCTGAGCCTGACCTAAACTGGCCATGATGTCTCTCTCCAGTGCTACCAGTTGGAATTACAGGTACCTCCTGGCTGCTATCTTCCTCACCAGCATCAACTGTCAATGTTTATTTATACATCTTTCTTTAAGTAGCCCTAGATGTCCTGAAGTCACACTGTAGACCATGGTGGCCTTGAACTCACAGAGATCTGCCGGCTTCTACCTGTTTTATAGTTAAAAAACACAAAAGCTATTTTAGATCCCCAATTTTTATTACTCAACTTTTAAATTTCAAAATTACATACAATTAATCCAAATCATACAGCAAAGAGTTCTGGAAACTGAATGCACATTGAGTTGTGTGATCTTTAATAATCTGCACACTACCATCCTGCATATTGGTTTCTTTGATGCTCTCAAAGTCAGCTTTGTCTTGAACTGCCGTTTTGTCCAGTAATGAAGACAGGTGATCTCCATCTAATTCTTTTTCTTTAGTTATGACTGGCTCTTTTATATTTTCCTTTTCCTCTGCTGAGTAGGTAGCATCGTTTTCTTTTATAAACTCAGGGTCCGTTTTTGCCTCCGGTTGCTGAGGTTTTCCAGACAGCATGTGAGGAAGATCAGGACAAATGTGTTGAGGGCCCACAGCTGAGCCACAAGTGTTTGTTTTTACTGCTTCAACTGCTACAGATGAATCGGAATCAGTGGTAGAGGTGGTAAAATGTTCTGTGTCTCCCTTTTCACTTAGAGGACATCCTTCACTGACTCCTTTTTCCTCTCCTTGAAGCCCATCAGGACCACTACATTCTTGCAACTGTACCAAGAGAAATAGCAAGTTAGTAATTCTTTGAAGTAACAGAAATTGAATCATAGTACTCTCTGAAATCATTTTTAAAAAAATTTATTTTGTGTATGTATGTGTGTTCATGCAGGATACAGCACATACAGAGAGGTCAGGGAGCCACTTGTAGGAGTTGGTTCTCGCATTCTATGACATACATGCTGGGACCAAAGTCCTCAAACTTGGCAGTGAGTGCTTTTATTGTGTGTGTGTAGCAGGGAGGGTGTAAGAAAAGGGGATGCTCAGAGGTGAAGGACATTTTCTGGAGGTTTTCCCCTTTCCCCGGCATGGTTTCAAATTCAGTTCATCAGGTTTGCACAGGAAGCACCTGTTATCTACTGAGCCATGTTAACTACAAACCAGCTTTAGTTTTATTTTTCTTTTTTTAAAGATTTTTATTTATTTATTTTATGTATACAACATTCTGCTTCCATGTATATCTGCACACCAGCAGAGGGCACCAGATCTCATTACGGATAGTTGTGAGCCACCATGTGGTTGCTGGGAATTGAACTCAGGACCCTTGGAAGAGCAGTCGGTGCTTTTAACCTCTGAGCCATCTCTCTAGCCCTTAATTTTCTTTTTCTATTAATATTTTGAATGGGGTCTGGCTTGGAATTCAAGAGATCTGCCTGCTTTTGCCTCCCGAGTGCTAGGATTAAGCCACAATGACCTGTGGTTTTAATTTTCTGATTAAATTAAATTAAATTAGGGCTGGGAAGAGGGCTCAGCAGTTAAGAACACCTGAGAAGACCAGGTTCAGTTCCCAGTATTCATATGGCAGGTAGAGTGCTCCCCCCTCTGGCCTTGGCAGGTACCACAACAAGATACATGCAGACAAAACCCTCATGCATGTCCTTCCCCGTCCTCTCCACCCCCACATGGCCTCACATAAGGTTTCTCTACAGATCCCTGGCGGTCCTGGAACTTACTGAGTAGATCAGGCCTCTGTAAGGCCTGTGCCATCACCTCCACGGCTAAATTTCAGGCCTTTAATCCCAGCACTTTTTAAAAATAATATGAGAATAAAGAGTGGAGTTCTTATCACATGGAAAACAAGTAGACAAGTCTTACTATCAGCTGGGCATGGTGGTACATGCCTTTAATCCCAGCACCTAGGAGGCAGAGGCAGGCCTGGTCTACATAGTGACTTCCAGAACAACCAAGGCTACACAAAGAAACCCCAATGGGCCAATAGTCACGTTACATATTCTTGCCATTAGTCACTCTCCTTTAAACTCCACTAAAATAATACCTTTGCATGAATCTGAATCTTCTCATCTGTAACCTGAAGAACTTCAATCAATGGTGGGGGGGCTAGGGACCTCTCCTGTGTCAACGGGGAATGCAGGACCTCTTCAAGAAACTCATTAACATTTTCTTCATCAAGAAACAATCTTTCCTAAAGTAGAAAGAGAAAAAATATTCTATTTTACAGGTCACCTTAAGAGTTCTTACATAGTTCATAGCTTTTACAGTCTCTAAAGTGTTTATCTCAGCAACCATAAGTGCTATCTTGAAAAGACGAACTCTAGTTTTGTCCAGAATATAATAGGAGATCCACCTAAAAAGAGAAAGATAAAAGGAAGTCTTGATTTTTTATTTAAAGTTTACTAAAGAGGAGGTGTGTGCTTTCCCTACCAAGATTATCTTACTTACAAACAGTATTTCCTTTATTTTTTTCCAAATATATACTGTCCGAGGTAGCCCAAGCTGACCTTTGTGCACCTGAAGGTGACCTTGAACTTCTTTTCTGCTGCTTCCACATCATTCTATCTGGTGCCCCTGGTATTTCTTAGGAATATTCCCTTCAAGGCTATAAATGCAATCTTATTATAGTTCAGCTTCTAATAACTCCTATGTCTTTTAAATTCTTGACTATGTAAACTGGATGCAGTGGCTCAAAACTGTATTTCCAACACTTGGGAAGCAGAGGCAGGAAGATCAGAAGTTCAGGGTCACCTTCAGCTACACAGGAGTTCAAGGCCACCTTAGGCTACCTCAGACCCCAGGTATCAAACAAAATACAGAAAAAGTTATTGGCCCACTTAAGAACCCATTACAATATTTAAAAGAAGCACATTCTATTTATTTTTAAATTTTTGAAGCAATGTCTGGGTCTAACAGAAATCATTCAATGCTGGCTTTAAGAAAAACTACAGCACTCAGTGCTGGGCACAGCATCACACACCTCTACTCCTAGTGATCAGGTAACAGAAACAAATGGATTCTGTGAGTTCCAGGCCAGCCTGGTCTACAAAGAGAGTTCCAGGCCAGCCAAGGCTACATAGAGAAACACGTCTCAGAGGAAGAGAGAGAAAGAACGAGAAAGAAAGGCACTCAGAAGGACAAACACACTTAAAAACATGAACGAAGGTTTTCAAAGAAGTCACCATATGTTTTATTTTTAAAAATTGATATATTTGGGCTGGAGAGATGGCTCAGAGGTTAAGAGCACTGACTGCTCTTCCAGAGGTCCTGAGTTCGGTTCCCAGCAACCACATGGTGGCTCACAACCATCTGTTATGAGATCTGGTGCCCTCTTCTGGTGTGCAGATAAGCATGGAAGCAGAATGTTGTACAGATAAAAAAAAAAAAAAAAAGAATATTGATATATTTTAGTGTGCCACATGTACATAGTTATTTAAAAGGAAGTAGATTTTAAGACAGTAACAGGCTTCTCAACTAGAAAATTTAAGCATCACTATCACCCAAATCTAAACACAATATAGTTTTTTTTTATATTCACATCCAGTAAGGAACAGCCATTTAACCATATTTAAAATTATTTAATTCATAAGATCAGTTTAGTTACCCCAAATAAGATTATCTTCTGTGCTTTTATATAAGTAAATATCATAATTACAAAGTAAAGATTATTATGTGGTCCAAAGAGGAGGGACAAAATCAGAGATAATTTCAAATTCTCTTTGCTTATATTAAACAGTATTTGAATTTGCAAGTGAACCAATAAATTAGAGGAATTTTACATTTAGAACAATTACCTTACCTTTCTATTACTTGAAGATCCAGAATCTTATATTCTGGATATTATTACTGAAGCACTCCATCAAAAGCATTTCTAAGCCAGGTGGTGGTGGTGTATGCCTTTAATCACAGCACTCAGGAGGCAGAGAAAGGGGCATCTTTTAAGTTCGAGGCCAGACTGGTCTACAGAGTGAGTTCCAGGACAACCAGGGCTACACAGAGAATCCCTGTCTCAATAAACAAAACTAAAAAGAAAATCCACTATAGTTGGGCATGGTGACACACACCTTTAACGCCAGCACTTGGGAGGCAAAAGCAAGTGGATCTCTCTGAGTTCAAGGCCAGCTTGGTCCACATAGTTCCAGGACTGCCAGGGCTATGTAGTGAGACGAACACTTTATCAAATGCCGGCCATGCACTAAATACTTAGGGGTTCTAGCGACAAATAAAACAGAGAAATTTTCTGTGTAATTTACAGCACCCACCAGAGGGCAACCTCACTCCAACAGTTTCATATGGCCAAATGGGAAATAGGGAAGGAGGAGACTAAGGCTAGTACAGGAGAATGCTCTACCTCTGAGCTTAATCTATAACCCCAGCATAAATTATTTCATCTCCGGAAGTATTTTATCATCTGTCCAAATTAAAAAACTTAGAAGTGATTTCCCAAGTTAAAATATGACCACTTTGGAGTGCTTTTTCGACATAAATCCTGTTGAGGACGACTTAAGTTATAACCCTTTTCTCGGGAGAGACACTACCCTCAATTTTTGCATAAAATGCCAGAGGTCTAGGAATCAATAAAATCCAGTCTGGTTAGCCAGTGGATGGACCCCAAGAAAACGGCTGCATTACGGACAACCCTGAAGGCATGAAGTGCATGCTTCGGGTATGTGCAAACTTCGCTTTGAGAACACACTTACCACGCACTATCTTTCATAATATGAATAGGTGGAAAACATTTGTTTAGGTGCCTGTAACAAAAAAAAAAAAAATAAGAGTCTTTCAAATAGTGAAAACGGTTACCTCCAAAGAGTCGGTGTTCAAGCCACAATACCATTCTCGCCAGTGTCCACGGCTCTCCGGAGATTTTGCCAGTACTATCACCGCATTGTTTAAAGAAATGCTAATCACGGGTTCTCTGGTACTCAATTTATTCTCTGGAGCAAACTGCAAAGTGAAGCAATAGCCTGAGTCTTGTGTGGAGAAGCACAAATTGTATCGGAGGGGGCTCAGGTCCCCGTGAAGACTTTGCGGCTGAATCTGAGGCACTTGGATGAGCAAAGTCAAGGAGTCTTCGTCCTGATTGCACTGCAAAGGAGGGCACAATGGTCCGATGCTCCCGGCTCCGGAGCCACCCATGGCTGAGCCCGAGGCGTCGTGGCAGCGCCCCTCCTGCTCCTCACACGTCTGGGCATTGAGGTCTCCGCACAGCCCGGGGCTTCCCGCGCGGGACTCGGTGTCGCAGCCCGGGAACGCGGTGCAAGGGGGGCTTCGGTCCCCAGGAGGGGGCCCTTCCCCGAGGCCTAGAGACGCC